CGCGAAGAATCCACATACACATTGTTAGATTTTCTGCATCACTGGAACTTAAAATAATACCACAATAAACTATCATGCTCCATGTTTTCTCGCGCTATTTATCGGTTACATGTTTTCCCGCGTCATTTATCGGCTGCACTTTTTCCCGCATTATTTATCGGTTACACGTTTTCCCGCGCTATTTATCAGTTGCATGTTTTCCCGCGCTATTTATCAGTTGCATGTTTTCCCGCGCTATTTATCGGCTGCATATTTTCCCGCGCTATTTATCGGGTACATGCTTTCTCGCGCTATTTATCGGTTACATGTAATCCCGCGTTATTTATCGGTTACACGTTTTCCTGCGCTATTTATCGGTTGCATGTTTTCCCGCGCTTTTTATCGGTTGCATGTTTTCTTGTGCTATTTATCGGTTGCATGTTTTTTCGCGCTATGTGAAATAGTTTAAACAGTGACTTTAAACGTTTATTTCGTTTCTATTCGTTTAATCTGCTATTTGTTAATTTCGAGTTATTTCCGGTCAGCGGTCGTTACTGTATTTTAGTCTCGTCATTGCTTACCTCAATACTCGGCAAAGTACTAAACACGTTTTTCGTTTCCGCTCAAAAACTCGCTCAACATGATCGCCATGTTTGCAACGGTGTCGAACCGAAGTGAAATATAGTCGAGTTCCTATCGCTGTTGTATTTCCTGCTTCTCCACACGCTATTGATCGGTTACATGTTTTCCCGCTCTTTTTATCGGCTGCATGTTTTCTCGCGCTATTTATCAGTTGCATGTTTTCCCGCGCTATTTATCGGTTGCATGTTTTCCCGCGCTTGTCACGGGTGACATGATTTCTCTCCTTCGCCATCTGTGATGATCCGTGACATGTTGTCGCGCGCTTTTCTCATGGTACTTGTTTTCCCGCATTTTCCATCGATTACAGGTTTTTCCTTTCTTGGTGTCAGATACATGTCACCCCGCGTTTTTCACTATTTGCATGGATTCCTGGGCCTCAAATTTGGTTTGTGGCTTCACTTTTCCCCTTAAGTCCCTATTTCAGCTTTTAACAGGTCCTGACAAGGACAGGGCCTAATTTGAATTATATTCAAACATTATAGAATGAGTTAGAACGCTGTAATTCAACAAGAAGCAAAACCTACCTGAACAGTAAAATCCATCTCCATAAAGACCTTTGTTACAGATACAGAGATATGATCCATCGGTGTTGTAACAGGCAGCTTGTTCATCACACTCAGCTAGGTCCTGCTGACATTCATTGATATCTGTTGAATAAACAGCCACACTTATTAGACGAGTCTGTGAGAGACGTCATCAAATCTACAACCTGCAGCAAGCAATCTACGGAAAAAAGCCTTGTCAAAACCAGTTTATTGGTTTAAAGTGAAATTAGAAGAAAATAGACTATTGAATGCTGGCTAACGGTCGTGAAGGAATGTTTAAAATTTAGAAGTATTTCTTTTTTCACTTCCATCTACCCTGAGAGCAGATCTAGAGGTCCCTACGATCTTCCTAAAAAAGTCGGGAAGATTCAAGAAACCTCTGCTCGCAAGGTAAATTGCATCAAAAAATAAACTGATGAATGTTAATGAGAAGCGTGAATACTGGTGAATTAGTGGCTAGCAATAATAAAAAGTCCGCTTCAATCCACGACAGTTTACTATCATTGCGAATTTACACTTTTTCTCTTTAATTTACTCTTTCATAACAGGGTATTTACCGTGGCAGGCAATATCAATGATGTGATATCCTGGTTTACACTGACAGACGTAAGAACCAGGAAGATTAACACACACCGCGTCATGAAGACAAGCTGCTTCATCTGATCCACATTCATCTGCATCTGTCAAGTAGTCAAAAATGCTGACTCAGGATCAACACTACGCACATGATGAAAAGTGATATTCCCTGAAAAAGCCCTTTGGTGTTTCCAACCTTACCCTTAGGTCCTCTTTCCATTCACTGCCAGATGGAGAAGCTCAGAACCTGGGAAGAGTTACTCATTGACGCCACCTAAGTTAGTGTTCAGGCCCCTGGTTAAATGGCCGCATTAGCACATCGGCAAGTATTTCGTGGTAGAGCGATGTAAAGACACCCATATATTTTGGCCCTTATAAATGCTAACCTCGAGCAAACAGCAGTATCAAAGCAGTAGATTAATACTAGCTACAAGTGAACAGCAAAATAAATGCTGCTCAGTTGTAGCTAGCATTTATCTACTGCTATGATACTGCTGTTGTTTTTGTATGTTCACGATCATAGCCTTTTTTAATAACTTTATGCTTTTGCACTTATGGCCATGCATGCAAATGATGACGCGTGATTTACCTTTACATGTGGCGCCCATTGCAATAAATCCCTGTTTACAGACACAAGAGAAAGAGCCTTCAGTGTTGACACAAAATTCATAATCACCACACACCTCTATTCTGCATTCGTCGATATCTGCAAAGGAACACTGCGTCAAGTCTTTGTAGTCTTTGTTATGCCACTTAAATCATGCACTTACATTGNAATTCGTTCATCATTGCGGGATTACTTGATTTATCGGCATTCCCCGGTTTTGTCCGCTCACGTTTTTTTCCTGCCCAAGTCTTTCTTCACGTGTGTTTAAATAATGACCTTGTTTTGTTCCAGATTATTGGCGTCGGTGGAGTCCGCCATCATTTGAAAGCATCGGGAATGACTCGAACGCACCATTTACTTTTAAAGCAGTATTAATATCGTGACTTCAGTTTAAAGCTTGCCTCATATTCCATCGGCCCTTTCTGGTTTATTTTTTATTTAACATCATCGACATGTCACTGAAACAGATTATGACGCCTTCCCTGGCCGCAAGGTGAAGAACCCTAGTGAGAGTATGTAAGGAATGCTAGGAAAATTTCCCACCATTTCTCTGCGGTACTTACAGTAGAAGCCCCGTGCGCGGCTTGAAATGTTTTTCATCCCTAAGAGGTACCAATTCTAAAACAACAAATTATCTCGTATCATATGTTTTTGGTTCAATACCCTAAAAGGTACCGGGAAAGCTCCCGCTGTGAACCTTTTGAGGCTGAGCATGCTAAGAGGGGCCAAAAACACGTTTTTAACCCCTGAAAGGTATGGTGAGCACCCCCATCCTTTTTATGTGGGACTCCTTCCTCCCCGGGATATTACTATTAATACGTTTAAATGTTCCTAACATACTTTTATGATCTTGTTATCTAGTGTAAATAAAAGGGTGTATAAAGAGAGAAAAAAAAAAGACCTTCATTCATGGCAGTCAGTTGTAGAGATTACAAACAATTTTGCAAATCTATCATGATTCAATTATATGTTCTATACATTCCAATACATCTCTGTTGGCCATGACATAGCATACTTTAACAGATATTCAATAAGCTTTTTTGCAACATAAATACCATAACATCCTTTTGAGCCATCACCAGTGAAGCCTTTATTACAGAAACAACGAAATGAGCCAGCGGCATTGACACAAGTTGAATTCTCTAAACAACTATGGCTTCCAATCTCACATTCATCAATATCTAAAAGAAACATAAACAGATTTACATTCTCTATTAAAGCGTCATGATTCTGCTTTATATACTGCATACTGCTCACTAACATATACTTGTTTTGTTCTTCTAATTCATTTTATCACTGATTGTGATGCATTTTTTTTTTATTTCGAACTAAATATGATTAGAATTAGGATGATGATTTTCATTTAAATTTTTTATATGTGAATAGTTTTTACAAATAATTTTGTAAAGCGCATGTGAACATATCCACATGTCAATATGTGCTATTATATGCTTTAGTCCGGGCTTCCCCCTTCCACTCTCTTAATGGAAGCTCTGGCCAGATTATATTTAGGCAAACTTGGTCCCTTAAACATCTTTGCTTCAAGGAGAAGTCAGTTCTGGATGAGTGAAAGTACTTTACCTTCCTTAACCCAGATATTAAGTCTGCATTATCCAGGTCTGCAATATATATTGTACATCTGGCCACTCATACGTACTATTTAAGCCAAGTTTTATTGCACCTAAAAATTTCTGGATGCAAGCAGCTTGGAGGCTAACTATCGTAGCCATCCTTAAACCACGGACTTAATTTACAAGTTACATCTTGCTAAAATGTATCATGAGATATACAAGCATATAACATTACCAACACAGTTGTTTCCATCTGCCAAATAACCTGGCTCATTGCAATCACAAATGAATGAGCCATCAGTGTTGATACACTCTGTCAGATATGGACAAACATCCCTTGCATTGGAACATTCATCAACATCTAAATCACAATGAATGAATAAATAAATATTAAGTAAATAAGTTAATAAATAAATAAATAAGTAACAAATAAATAAATAAATAAATAAATAAATAAATAAACTGAAATAATTAAATCAAGTGATGGTTTTTGTAGAGGAGGTAAAAGGGAGAACCCAGAGAAAAAAACAGATCAGTGTAAAACACAGACTGTAGAGCCTGCAGACTGCAGATTACCTCCACTAAGTTGGCCACCTCTCTACAACAGCCACTTTTTTGTCTCGGTGGATGGTCCATAAATTCAGTCCTAATTTAACCTCTCTACATGGTCATTTCTCTACCATGGGGAGAGCCATTAAGGCACGTCCCAACTGCCAAAAGAACCTCTTGATAATGGCCAGTTACTCATCAACTGACAAACGGTGCATACAAAACCCCATTTATTGCAAAGGTTACAAAACTGACCCATACCATGCATCGTTGGTTTCTGGTTTTGTTTTGTTTCTGTTTCATCTATATACCGGTATTTTACTTAGCTAAAAGTGTTGCACCCCCCCACCCCCCCACCCCCAAAAAAAATACAGGCTTCATAACTGGGGGAGGTACTCCCAGAAAAATTGGGTGGGGGTGTGTGGCCCGCTTCCCAAAACCCTTACCTTTTTAAATTTACCCTTATCTATGGTTTTCCATACCCCATTTATGACCTGACCAAAAATTTGATACCCAATTTATGACAATAATGCAGCTGGCACAGTTGCCCTAAACATAATTTATGAAGGGCCTTTAATGATGTTCTTATTGATAATGAGAAAAGTCAAAAACCATAACCTGTATTTATGACCAAAATGCCCAAAATCGATACCCTATTTATGACCAGAATGGTTGCAAGAAAAACCATACTCTTTGGGGCTGCACATGCCTATATAGCCCATATAAGGGAGTATCCCCCAGGGTTTCATATCACACCCCCACCTCCCCATAACTGCTACCTCTCTACAATGGAAACTTTACTTTGTCCTCGTGGTGGCCATTGTGGAGAGGTTCGACTGTAACACAATAATTGTACACTTAAAACAACTGTAGTCTGCCATCTGCATTTTACTGCTGTCGGCAGTCTGTGGTTTACAGTGAATGAACAAACAACCCGGCTCGCCCTCTTGTCATGCCAGGTCTGGAATTAATTCAAACCTTACTACTGTAAACTGTCAGTAAAATACTTAGAACTTAATATTGAAGTTTAAGTATTTCCATTTCAGAATCAAAGGCAACATTAATATTATACATGTAGTTTAAATAATCAAATAATTGGGTGTGATAATGGTACACTTGTATGATTGAATTAATCAACTGCTGTTAAAAAAGCCAGGGTTCAACACTAACCTTTGCAACTTCCAGAACCTGAATCATAAGAGTACCCTTGGGCACATTTGCACTGAAAATTTCCCAGCACATTAGAACAGGCTTGTTTCTCACCGCATAAATTGTATCCCACACTGCATTCATCGACATCTGTTGACAGCAACAATGTTTGTTTTATAGAGGGAGACATTGCGGTTTGTGGTGTTGGACAATTTTTCTTGAGGTATTTCAACATGTACGTTTAAGGTGGCTTATACCACAGTTATGATGGATTACAACAGTCAACTTCTAACTCTTTTGAAAAATGTTCCAAGATGTTTTTCATTTCTCTATTTACTGTTTGCTTAAGTCTTTTACCATTCTATGCGAAACTTGAACAATTAAACGTTAACAAATGGCCACAATGAATGACTGGGTACCTAAGGAGAGACTGGCCACTTAAGTAGGTTAACTCACGTTTTTCTCAAAATCTACCCGTATGA